GGGGGCGACGCTGGGCCGGGCTCCCGGCTTCTCTGGCTGCTTCTCCAACCGAGAGCCATCCTGAGGGGCGGGACCGCGAGCCTGACGGACGTGCTTTCCGGCATCGGTGAAGCAGTACGTTTCCCCGCCCGAGCCCGGTTTCCCCGGCTGGAAACGGGGATCGCGGTTGTACTTGGTGCTCAGCGAGCTTCAGGTCTTCTGCCGACGTGACCAGTGCACGTGAAGCCTTGAATGGAGGGCCATTGCATTATTTTTATGAAAATCAAAATGCGCACCCCGAGACCCAGCCGGCGACTCTGAGACAGCGGTGGGGATCGCGCTTCGGTGCAGCTCCGACCCCTCGGGAGCAGCCCGCGTGTCCGGGGAAGAGTTCTTTCGGGCCCACGATCTCACTTAAGTCTGTGCCTTTAATAGTAATAAAACCGGGAACCAAGAACAGCCATTATAGCAGCCCTCAGTGATGGAGCGGGGACAAGTGCTTCCCTCGCTTTATTTAACCTCAGCGTCCCCAAGCTTCCTGAGGTGGGCGAAGCTGTGCCCCCACTTAACACGGGGACCCAGCCCGGAGCCGTAGAAGCGAGTTAGCCAAGGTGACATCCCGCGGGAGCCGAAGAGCTGCGTGCGGCCCAGGTCTTTCTGGCGCATCCGTTGCAGCCGCCGCGCTCGTTCTTTCTAAATGACACGCTGGCACTCCATTGTATGCATATCCAGATCCGGGCATTCACCCTCTGGCTTTCCCTTTCAGGAGCCCCGAGCCATGTTGCCAGAAGGCCTACTGGTGTCGGCGCCGGGGAAAGTCATCCTGCACGGAGAGCATGCCGTGGTCCATGGCAAGGTAAAGGGCCCGCCTGCAGGACGGCACCGTTGTCCCCGACGCTAACCGGGAAGGGAGCTAACAGGCAGCCTCGTCGCATGGCCTGATAGTACGTCGGCGAGGAAGTCAGTCTCCCCAGCCAGGCAAGGAAAAGACGGGCCTGTGCCCACCGCAGGGCTGCTCAGCCCACTCTGAGAGCGCAGAGGACGACAGGGCCAGCCTGGGGGTGAATCAGCACTTAGGCAGGGAGCTTCGGCGGAGAAGAGAGAGGTTTGAGGATTGACGCCTGGGGACCTTCACCATTTAGAGTGGGAGGACGCTAGACCCCAGCACAGGAGTCTAACTGCATCATCTCACGTAACTCTTACAACTGCCTCTGCAGCTGCTCTTTATTATCCTGTTTCACCGACGCGGAGGCTGGGGCTCGGAGAGGATTGGGGGAGCTGGGAGTGAACCCCAGTCCGTCGGAGCCCACAGCTCATGCTTTTCCCACTCCTCCTCTTTGTCTTGATGTTCTTACCCTTGAAACGTGGTCATTACGGGCAGCCATTCCTTGGCGTGAACCTCTGAGGCTTTGCCTGGGGAGGGCAGACCTAAGTACAGGTTAACTCCTTGGTGGGCAGGGGTTGTGCCCAGGCTATGTGGGAAACACGCCACGGTTGGTGAGCAGCGTCTGCCCCGGCCCGGGTGGCCGTGGCCTGTGAACCAGCACGGAGTTGACGTTGTCCCCTTTTTCCTGAGACAGGAGTCGTGCCTGTTGCTGCCCACCCGCAGGCTCATTGCTTTTGCCCTATAGGTAGCACTGGCTGTGGCCTTGAACTTGAGAACCTTTCTCCGGCTTCAACCCCGCAGCAATGGGAAAGTGGGCCTCCGCTTACCAAACATTGGCGTCCAGAGGACCTGGGATGTGGCCCGGCTCCAGCTGCTGGACACCAGCTTCCTGGGTAAGTGCAGGAGGAGGAACCCGGTGTGGGCGGAGCTGGGCCCTGAAGGGAGCGGATAAGAGGAGAATAACTGGGCAGTTATTCTAAGCCAGTGGTTCTCAACCTGTGGGTTGCGACCCCTTTGGCAGTCGAATGACCCTTTCACAGGGGTCGCCTAAGACCATCCTGCATATCAGATGGTCTGAGGATTAAATATTTAACTACAAACATAATTTACATGACGATTCATCACAGTAGCAACATGACAGTTATGAAGTAGCAACGAGAATAATCTTATAGTTGGGTCACAACACGAGGAACTGGATTTAAGGGCCAGAAGGTTGAGAACCACTGACGCAGAAGAAGGGTGTGTCCATCATTTCACTTTTCATCCAATCCCAGGGGTTTCCCCGCTTTGCTTTCTCCCGCCTCCTTAGTCTATCACCAATGGATTTCCTGTCACCCACCTACGTCCCCTCCTCTGATGGCAACGTATAAATGCAGATGGACCCGCATTCTCCGGAGCACTATCTCTGTTCACTGAGGTTCTGCTTCCCAGCTTATGCCGACAGTTTGGCTCAAATAAACTCACAAAAATTCTTTACAGGTTTCAAGGGCTTTTTATGTTAACGGGTTAATCAGGTTTGAGTTCGCCTGATAAGAGAAAGAGTATAACTTGCCGAGACGGGTTTGGCTCAGTGGATAGAGCGTCGGCCTGCGGACTGAAAGGTCCCAGGTTCGATTCCGGTCAGGGGCATGTACCTGCGGGCACATC